TCTTCATTCTGAGTCTCTGCAGAACATTTTGTGGTTTCTGTGCAATCCTTAAATACTGTTCCTACTATCACCAGTTAATTATTACCTGATTTTTTTTTCTCAGAAACACATGAAGCAACAATCTCTCTGAACTTTAAAAAGCCACTGAAAGACTGGAACAGCAAATCATTACATATTTGTATACATTTCTTGTGTCACTATAAAATCAGTCATAATAGAAAACAAAATGCTTAGAGTCCTTTTTGTTTTCAAAATATCACTACAAGTTACTTTGGAAACCCTCAATTTTGTTTCTTCAGCTCAGAATTTTGTAACTTGAGTGTTTTCACTTTGCCTGATTGTGCAAAATACTGTACGTATATTGAAACAGATTAAAGAAGAAACATTTTTGAGGCACGTAATATATTAATAATCTACTGCAAGGCTATTCAACTGGTGGCCTGTGGGCCACATCCGGCCCACGAGTGACCAAAGTTAGGCCCGCCCATTGTTTYATTTATCTCTTAAGCTCAAACCCCCAGTTTTCTACTTCAATTACTTTAAGTTCTTTTAGCTGTTTGGTATCTACAGAAATGTATGTGTGTATGTGAAATTCTTTAGACAGAATAAGAGTTTAAAATTAGACTTTATTTGCAGTCAGTGAAACTGTCCTGAGCTGCACTGAGGTGGAGTTGCCCATTGGCAAGAAGGTATCCTTGTTTACAAGTTTTTTAAAAATATATCTTGATTCTTAGTCATCCAGTCTGCAAAAGGTAATGCAACCCTGTTGCGCAAGACCTGTTCACCTTGTTCCCCCATGTTTTGTCATCTGTGTTTTTTTCTTGAACGTGTGATCTTAACTGAAATTTCGTTCTACATTGCATCCTTGATGTTATGWTTGAATKACAATAAAGAGCTTCTGATTGATTCTGATTTGATGCAAAAAGACTGACATCTTTTTTCTTCTATTTTATATGCKTGTYGTTGTTTACAAAAATKAATGTTTATTCRTGATTGAGTGGAACTGATAAACCTTGTATCATAATTTAATGRATGTTAATRAAGCAAAGACTTCAAACAGCTGAATATATCTTAAGTTTCCTATCAAAAAGTAGAAACTGTAATGACAATGTGTTACATGGGAATGTGTTCAGTATTTTTGACATGTGGTCATGATTGGTTTGATAAAAGTATTATTTAAATGTAAAAAGATAAGTTTTTTCTTAATTAGAAAAGTACAAGAAAGCCAACATTTCTTCAAAAAGCACAAGAAATTATAATGTAAGTAAAGAAAATAAAGCAATGAAAAAAGAATAAAGATTTGTATTGCTGGTTTTTGTTAGTTTCAAGTGCAGAATGTCAAACAAAAAGGCCATCAGTCATGCCCCCACAGTTTCAGTCATCAGRTTGTTATGGACATTCAGAGGCACACATGGAAAATGTAATAAAACTTTTCGAAATAAAACTATTTTTATTCTGCTGATTTTGCAAATCACATTCATTAATGGTTATCATCTCTGACCCATTGTGGTGTTTAGGTGACTATCATCTGACTGAAACAGAAATAAGGGCTGTTTGCTGCTCATGTGGTGAAAAGCAGATGGCCACTGAAGGTTGTGTGATGATTCTGAATGAATCTGGCACAGACGTAAAAACACAGTTTTTCCAATCTCCAACAGCAGTGTAATATAGTATGTGTAATATCTTTTTTGTCTCAAGTTTGTTTCTCCATCTCAGAATTGTGCAACTTTAGTGCGTTCTCTTTGACTGAGTGACATGCAGTTTAGAAACAGGTTAGAAAAGCTTCTCTTTCTGAGGCACAAAATACATTAACAATCTATTTCAATTCTGAGAAGAAGACAAAAACGATCAGTAATGTTCTTTAATAATTCATCAAACGCAAACACAAATATAGCCTACCTTACTACTGTTGCTGCAGTCTCTCACTTTTTTGTCATTGGCCAAGTTAGACAGAAAGTAAAAAAAAAGGTTAACAAATCAGTGGTTCAACAAGGCGTTTGATGAAACCTTCAAGTTTTGCAATTTATATAAAACAAATTCAAATGATCTGAGGTATACAAACTTGAGTGACTNCATTAATGGTTATCATCTCTGACACATTGTGGTGTTTAGGTGACTATCATCTGACTGAAACAGAAATAAGGACTGTTTGCTGCTCTTGTGGTGAAAAGCAGATGGCCACTGAAGGTTGTGTGACGATTCTGAATGAATCCATGAATTTTGGCACAGAAGTAAAAACACAATTTTTCCAATCTCCAACAGCAGTGTAAAATGCAATATCTTTTTGTCTCAAGTTTGTTTCTCCATCTCAGAATTATGCAACTTTAATGCATTCTCTTTGACTGAGTGACATGCAGTTTTGAAACAGGTTAGAAAAGCTTCTCTTTCTGAGGCACAAAATACATTAACAATCTATTTCAATTCTGAGAAGAAAAAAAAATCAGTAATGTTCTTTAATAATTCATCTAATGCAAAYACAAATATAGCCTACCTAACTACTGTTGCTGCAGTCTCTCACTTTGTTTTCATTGGCCAAGTTAGACTGTGGAGGTTTTGTTTTTCTGTGCTTACTAGTTCTCTTGCAGTTYATGGAGAGTGCAGTGGGCRGAGACTGGATGGACTCACCTGGGAGCAGTTACCTGCTAATTGAGGACAAGTATTTAAGCTGCTTCCTGAGATCCATCCAGTGCTGGATCATTCAGTCGCCTTGGTACTAAGACAGCTCCAGCATACTGCAGACATAATATATTCTAGCTGACTAACCACACTTGTTTTTTCCCTTACCTGTGTCCAGGCCCTGAGTCTCCGGTTCCCTTCGTGATTGGATCCCTCTGCAGAAGAACTGTGAGTTCTGTGTCCAATATCCAACCTGGAACCTTTTTGTTGTCCTCCGCCCTGCTCTCTCTTCGCCCTTATGAACTGCTGGAAAAGATCTAAAAGAACATGGACTAATTCTGCAAACAAACCTACCACAACAAGCCTCCACCACCTCCTCTCAGAGCCTGTCTCCAGATCCACCCTGCATAAGACAAACAAACAAATCAATATTCAAAGTCACTTAACTACTCGACGCCTCCTCTCAATCATCCTTTTTGCCTTTCAGCTATTCACCTGTAAATAAACTCACTGAACTTTTATCTGTTGCCTGAGTCGTTTTTTTTACTGTTGTCTCGCATCCAATTTTTGGAGTACTCACAAAAACAAACCTTAACAGAATAATCCAGYCAAAATTATGAGTACTCCAGGGTGGAACGACAGTGAACAAATGCTTCAATCTTTAGCTAATCAGGGAAAACAGATCTCTCAGAATGACCAGAACATCCAACAAGTATTAGAACAACAACAAACACTAACCTCCAATTTGGACAAGTTGGGTGGAATGGTTCTCTCCTTGACCGAAAAATGAACTCTCTCATACCTCCTAGTTTCTCAGTTTTTGCTCCAGCTCCTGCTTCTCCACCTACTCAACCAGTCATCCCCAGAGAACAAAGCATCCAACCAAGCCGCCATTTTGACGGTAACCCTAACCATTTTGGGGGATTCTTTTTATAATGTTCACTCGCTTTCAATCAGTCTCCCACTACCTTCATCTCTGATTCTTCCAAGATCTCTTATAGCCGCACTGCAAGGTAACTCACTTCGTTGGGCACACGCATATTTTTCCAACAGAGACATAAACCTCACTTTGTTCTCTACCTTTTTTGAATGATTTTAGAATTGTGTTTGACCATCCACTCCACCAGGAGACAGCAGCCAGGAATCTTCTTACCCTCCGACAACACAACAAATCCGTAGCAGAATATTCCATCCACTTCCGCATTGCTGCCTAAGAGACTGGATGGGATGAAGCCGCCCTCAGAGGTATTTTTTCAAACTCTCTTTCCGACTCTATAAAGGACCAACTTGCAACCTGAGACCAACCCGAAGACCTGAATGAATTAATTAAGCTCGCTATTCGCATTGACAATCGCCTCCAAGAAAGAAATAGATCTCAGAACTACAGTTCCCACCATGCCGCAATCGTTTCCACTCCATGTCCACTTCCTGCTTCCTGTGACATCAYCGCCAWCATACTAGCAACTACCACAGAAATAGAACCCATGCAGATTTGTCGCACCCGTTTAACCCCGGAGGAGAGACAACTTCGCTTCAAGGCGGGCGAATGCATTTATTGTGGTAAGAAAGGCCATCTAATTGCCAGCTGCCCGGTTCGGCCAAAAGGCCGTACCCACCAGTAAGACAAGAGATACTGGTGGGTTCCTTCTCTAATTCTCCTGAGAACTTTCTTACCCTACCTGCGACCATTTGCACAAATAATACTAACCTTCCAGTTGTTGTACTAATTGATTCAGGTGCAGAACAGTCCATCAGCAGCAGTATCGTGGAACAGCTTTCCATCACCCCTGAAGAGTTACCAACAAACATCTCCATGACCGGGCTCACAGGCCAACCCATCTCCTCCATCTCTCAGAAAATCCCTCAGCTCCATATTGTTATTTCTGGTAATCATCATGATTTTGGTGAGTTTTTCGTATTCCACTCTGAAAGACCCCAAGTTATTCTTGGTTTCCCATGGCTGGCTAAACACAACCCTTCTATTGACTAGAAAAACAAACATATTGAGAGATTGAGTGACTTTTGTTCTGAGAATTGTCTCAGATCTGCTGTATCACCAGTTTACCCTACTTCTCCCTGTGAAGAGATTGATTTGTCTTCCATCCCATCCTGTTACCATGACTTAGCACCTGTTTTCAGTAAAGACAAAGCTCTCTCTTTACCTCCACACAGACCATATGACTGCGCCATCGACCTCCTCCCGGGCTCTCCACTACCTTCCGGTAGGCTTTTCAACCTGTCAGGCCCGGAAAGAGAGGCAATGTGCRAGTACATCGAGTCAGGTATTATCTGCCCATCTACCTCTCCTGTTGGTGCAGGGTTTTTCTTTGTGTCCAAGAAGGACGGGTCACTAAGGCCTTGTATTGATTATAGGGAACTGAACAAGATAACCATAAAGAATAAGTATCCTGTCCCGTTGATTCAGTGTATGAACAACTTCAGGGCGCCACCATCTTTTCAAAACTAGACTTAAGAAATGCTTATCATCTGGTCTGTATAAGGAAGGAAGATGAGTGGAAGACTGCATTCAGAACACCTTTAGGACACTTCGAATACTTGGTCATGCCATTTGGRCTCACTAATGCTCCAGCTGTTTTCCAGGCCCTTGTTAACGATGTTCTCAGGGATTTCTTAAATAGATTTGTTTTCGTATATCTGGACGATATCTTGATCTTTTCTCAGAATCAAACCCAACATCAACAGCATGTCTGCACAGTCCTACAACGCCTNTACTTGTAATGTGGCAAAGTTGTAACAAATTTATGTACGTTTATAGACTTACATGTACAAATTTAGGCTCTTACACATACAATGATTCTGACAGTTGTCTTACCCCATAGTATCGCAGCACTTCCTCCTGCAGGTGGAGCCCTTGTTGACCACCTAAGTAGAGCCAGCTGTGTGTGTTCACAAACGATTCTCATGATCACAGAGGCTGAACCTTCTCCAAACAACGTCGGCCAACATTATATAGCAGATCATTATACGTTCCATAGATTATTCTGTATAAACTGTAATCTGTCCTTTCCCTCTTGTGTTTACTCTGTGCCTGGCCTCAAAGGGCCCACCCAAGGTGTGTGTAAAAAGGGTTTCCTTAAACCTCTGAGTGCCAGCTAAGTGTTTTTGATCATTTGTTTACAATGCTCTACTCCCCCTCAGACTGCCCACTTTTCACCCAGACTATCAAATTAATTCTTCTCAAAGGCAAAGCTGTGAGAGGAACAATCTGATCCTTTTTGAAATGATCTTCTGTCAGATACTTAGTTAATAGCTCATGAGTCATGGCATCACCAGAAGCATATTAGTGAGGAGGACATTTTGTTTGTAAATTGTACATTTCCTGTGAAAAAAAATGTGTTTTGTTGCTTAATGTTTGTGGGGATTCTATTCAGTCTAACACTCTGTTGCAGCTTCTGAGTGGCAGGGCGAAGCTTACAGTCTTCCGCTGCACCTGATGAGCACTGCAAAAAATGTCCACCTAAACAAGTTTTAAAATCCTATATCAGCCAAAAGTCTTTTTGATCTTGTTTTGAGACTGATTTACTAAACAAGAACTGATTTTATAAGAATAATAAGCTTGTCTTCGGAATACGTAAGATTGTTTGACTTGTTAGTCTGAAAATTTGACTCAAATTAAGTCAAAACTTTCTGCCAATGGAGTAAGAAAATTTTACTTGGTAAGATTCTAGAAATGCTTAATTTGACTCATTTTTTTCTTATTTCAAGAATCTTACCAAGTAAAATTTTCTTACTCCATTGGCAGAAAGTTTTGACGAGATCGAAAGGATGTTTTGGCTGGAAACAAGATTTTAAAACTTGGTAAGATGGACAGTTTTTGCAGTGAGAGCTCTGGGGTCTGATTTATAAAGCTTGTGTACGCACAAAGTGAGCCCAGAAACTTGTGTACGCCACTTTTTCACGCAAAAGTTGTGATTTATAAAATCCAAACTTGACGTGAAAATGTGCGGTCCCTCAGCCAGCTCTGACCCATGCGTACGCTRATTTTGGAGACGTGAAACTGCGACACAGATGGTGAAGTGAGGAATTAGAGCCACACTGTGTAATGATCACTGTCAGATATTTAATTTACCTTCAGACTTAGATTTTTGTTCAACTTTATGATCAGCTTTCTTAAAATGTCCACCTAACCAAGTTTTAAAACCTTATATCAGCCAAAAAATCTTTTTGATTTTGTTTTGAGACTGATTTACTAAACAAGAACTGATTGTGTAAGAATAATAATCTTGTTTTCAGAATGTGTAAGATTAATTGTCTTGTTAGTCTGGATATTTGACTCAAATTAAGTCAAAAATTTCTGCCAATGGAATAAGAAAATTTTACTTGGTAAGACTTCTTGAAATACTTGATTTGACTCAATTTTTTCTTATTTCAAGAATCTTACCAAGTAAAATTTTCTTACTCCACTGGTAAATATTTTTGACTTAATTTGAGTCAAATTTTCAGACTAACAAGACAAATAATCTTACACATTCTGAAAACAAGAT